AAAAAAAAAAAAAAAAAAAAATCAGACAACCACAGAAACCATAGAATTCAGAAAGATAGCCCCATCTCTAACAGCAATTGATGCCCAAGATGGGAAGAGCTGATGTGGGCAGGGGTGGTCAGAGAATGTGTTTAAGAAGAGAAGGACCTGAAGGGTGGGTAAAATGTGTTGGACAGGACACAAGGTAGTCCAAGAAAGAGTATCAAGGAGAGATCAGCTGCTCCACTCAGAGGTGAAAGATGACTATTCTCATTTGTCAAAGATGAGACTGGGCCAGATTGTCCAGCCTGTCAGGACTCAACACAAAGCCAGTGGAGAACCACTCTCCATTTTGAGAAAGAAATGTCATATTGAAAGCTCCATTTTGGGAGGGTCCTGGTCCCTGCATGTGGTGCCTGCATCAGTGAGACCTGCCAAAGCCAGTTTCAGACTGAAGGACTAGCTTCAGGTGGTAGCAGTGACAACTGGGGTTATTCTGGCTTACAGTGTCTAGGTTAGAAGATATATATTTCTGTGTTATTTAATAGGTAAAACAGATTATGGATGTGTCGCTAATAACGCAGTTTCTAAAGGTCATTTCCCACTTGATCTGAGGCAATAAGATGAAAAAGAACAGTTGCTATGCTCCCTTCAGAAAGCAAGAGATTTGGCATTTGTTCGTGGGAACATGTATTCCTGTAGTTAGAAAGTAGAACAGCTCCTGTATTTTCTGTCACAGGACATGTTCAGGCTGGAGACTCTGTGCTAATCCATGCAGGATCAAGTGGTGTGGGCACAGCTGCCATCCAACTAGCTCGGATGGCTGGTGCTATTCCTCTGGTCACAGCTGGCTCCCAGCACAAACTTCAAATGACAATAAAGCTTGGGGCAGCTGCTGGATTCAATTACAAAGAAGAAGATTTTTCTGAAGCCACTCTGAAATTCACCAAAGGTAAGCAACTGCTTCTGTAGCTCAACAGAAATTGAAGAGATGGTTAAATCTCTCACCAGCCTCAAGGTGTCAGGGCTGTGGATCAGTTTTGCCTCTGCTGAATACACTACAGCTGCCTTGGCCAAATTCTTGTTATTTGGTTTTTGACCACTGGGAACGGGCAGCCAACATTTAGGTCTAATATGTTTTCCACGTGCATTCTTGCCAGTGATAGGATTGATAGAGACTTTAGAAACTGGATAATCACACAGAATTTGCCTGGAATTACCCAACACTACTTGTTCTCAATCAGCCAGTCTGCAGTGAGTTAACAGGAAACTTGGGACAGAGACCATTTTGGGGCAGGTCAAAGGAGCAGCTCTGTAAATGAATAAGCAGATGCGTACACCTCTGAATTCCAACACCAAGTCTGGATATTTTTTATTAATTCCTTCCCACATTTCATATGATAGAAAAGGAAAGATGAAGACAATATTAGCAAGCTGTGATTCTGATAACCCAATGCAGATACTTCAGAACTTAGGTATGAACAGCTAACCTGGGGTGGACTTCCATTGTCCCCATCTCACTTATGTCTAGGTGCCACTGGCACTGTATTTATTTTGAGGGTAAGAGGAAATACCCATTTCCCTCTTGCTGTGTTCAAGGATCATAAAAAATGAACTATATCACACATGCTATAATAAAGTTCTACCTAAACTTCATTTACGTTTCTACGACCCGTGCTTCTAGTTCCAGCCAATAGATCTACAACTTCTACCTGTAATTACTTATTTATTTACTTATTTTTATTTTATTTTTTACTTTTGAAGACAGGTCTTGCTATGTAGCCCAAGCTGACCTCAAACTCCCAATCCTCCTGCCTCGGCCTTCTGAGTGCTGGGATTATTGATATGTACCACCACGCCCAGTTCCCTGTATTTATTTTTACCCATACATCCACGTATATACTATGGAATCTTACCTTGCACCAAGTTTTCTGTGTCTGACTAGCATTGCAAATCTGTTTCCTATGGAAGGTGTTGGAGTCAACCTTATTTTAGACTGCATAGGTGGATCTTACTGGGAGAAGAATGTCAACTGCCTGGCTGTTGATGGTCGATGGATTCTCTATGGTCTGATGGGAGGAGCTGATGTCAGTGGACCCCTGTTTTCAAAACTGCTTTTTAAACGAGGAAGTCTGATTGCTAGCCTACTGAGATCTAGGGACAAAAAGGTGAGTGATGAGTGAAAAGAAAATGTGATATAACAATTAACCAGAAAACTGCTTTGTTTATATGCTTTGTCACATCTTAGGTTAGGGAGCCTATGAAGAAACCTGCCACCTTGTGGATAAATAGGTAACTTGATTTCAGACAACGAATTCAGACTGGTCAACAGAAACCTCAGGCATAACCAATACTTCATATATATGACTTCCTAACATAATAAACAAAGCATTGACCATATTAGGAAGTCTTCTAATAGTTCCAAGACTTTCTTTGCAAAGTAGTACTCTTCTCAGTGTGTTAAGAAAGCCTATTGGCTAAATAAGTAAGTCTCTTATTTATGTTGTGTTTCTAAATCTCTGTGAACATACCGCACCACTCGGGTTACACCTACTGCAGGACAGCAAAGTTTAAGCATTCCTTTTGTACTCACTGACAGTTCTTGGGTCCTGTCCGTGGCTGCCTCCTGCGTGGCACCTTTATTTAAAAATAGCCCTTAGGTTATCCGTGACACTAGTATTTTACTCCAGCCTTCAGCCTTCATCAGGTACAGAACAGACGTTACACATTGGGGGACGTGCGCCTACACGAGGGCAGTGAGGGATTGTAGACGCATACAGTGTCGGAGAGCATTCGGCTAAGCAGGATGGGAGTGGCAGAGTAAGCCTCTTCGGTCTCATGTTCTTTTCCTCATTTTAGTACAAGCAAACGCTGGTGAAAGCTTTCACGGAGCAAATTCTGCCCCATTTCTCCAAGGAGGACCCCCAATGTCTGCTGCCGGTTGTGGACAGAATCTACCCTATGGCTGAAATCCAAGCGGCCCATGGGTACATGGAGTCTAACAGGAACCTGGGCAAAATCATCCTGGAGCTGCCCCAGTGAAGGAAGAGGGGACAGCACAGGTCTCGGACATCCCAGCCCTCCCAGGTCCCTCCTCGTTAATAGGTCGGTGTAAAGATGGTCTAAGGAAATAAAATATGGACTTGAAAAGTGGCACGTTCACTGTGGGGCGGGGTGAGGTGTGAGTCAGGTCGATCAGCTGACCCTCAATCCGAGGCTCATGCCACTACGCGGTTCCGGTTACACCTCACCGTCGGCCACCACACAAACAACCAATCCCTGAAGACTAGGCTTTGCGCACTGCTGGAGAGCCAAGCCCACCCTCGCATCACCTATACCTAGCCAGAGCCCCACCCCGTCCCGCTACACACCTGGGCCCCATCCACCTCTAGGCCACGCCCCCTCTTTACTCTGGACCCGGGCAGCAGAGGCACCGCCCCTTCTGGCGCTTGTGTCCCACCCCTTCCGGTCCAGAATCCGGAAGCGTCTTGGCGCCCGCCTTTCCGCCTTCCGGCCTGACAGCGATCTCCGGCTAGTTTGACCCTGGGCGTCGAACGGAGGTGAGGTACTACGTCAGCACGTCTCAGCGTGAGATGATGATTTTCCGGCGGTGCTGTCACAGCTTCCGGCGCAGCCTGTGTGTTGATGTCCTGCGTCTTTCGCCGTTTAGCGCTCGAAGGACTAGCGAGCTCCGGAGGTGTCCAGAGGATTTCAGTGTTTGTTGCAGTAACCTCAGAAGCCCGCCAAGATGGCAATGCAAGCGGCCAAGAGGGCGAATGTGAGTACTGCGCCTTCCACGGAGGAGGGGGACATCTTGGCTGCTTGACTGTCACCAGTGTGGATCCGAGCGGGGAAGCTCAGAATTTCCTATTCCATCTTAGGGATTCTGACCTAGTCCTATTCTCAGGGTGTGAGCCCTGAGCCGCATTTCCGTCCCCATCCCTTTTGAGAGTGCCTCGGATCTCCTGGTGTCAGTGACCGTGTCATCTCTAAGCCCTTGACCTGCACCTGGGACTGGTGCAGAATCTGGTGGTAGAATCTTCTCCTGGGCCTAAAAGTCCGTAGCACAGACAAGTCCTTACTGCCAGCTAGAACCTAGAATTCTTACTCACATGTTAAGCTTTTGGGATATTTGAGCACCTACTGTGTACCTGACTTTCGATATGGAAATCAGTTCATCCCAAACACACGTCTTAGATACTGAGTCAACAGCGGTGAATAAAACAAAAAGTCCTGTATACGTTCTAGTGTTGGAGACTGGAGTATTATGAGAACGTTTGAAAAAATAAAATCTCAAGAGAGTAGGCAGCTGTTAAGACTCTTAGAATTATACTAAGATGAAAGCACATGATTGACCATCGGATAAGGAGAGATGGAGATTTTTGTTGACCTTGATGATGAGAATCATTACAGTGGATGAAAACTTGGTTGCAGTAAGATGCAAAGATGGTAGAAATCGAGAAAATGAAGGCAGCAAAGATCTCTTTTCCATGAATTTTCATATAAACAGAGTAGAGAAATTGGGTGATATTGTCAGCTGTTATTTTAAAGAAGTGACATAAGGCAGGGAATAGGTACCTTATTCTTCCATCAATATAATACTTAGCCTGATGTCAAAAGTAGTTGTCAGAGGTTTTTTTTGTTTTTGAGGTACTGGAGCTTGAACTCAGGGCCTACATCTTGAGCCCATTCCACCAGCCCTTTTTTTGTGAAGGGTTTTTCTGAGAAAGGGTCTTGAGAATTATTTGCCCTGGCTGGCTTTGAACTGCAATCCTCCCGATCTCTGCCTCCTGAGTAGCTGGGATTATAGGCATGAGCCACTGGCACCCAGCTAAGTTTCACAAATAGCTATTGAACAAATTTGTGTGGAATATATAAATGAGTATGTTAACAAGAAGCACAACAGTGAGCTCTGGATAGGAGGTACATATTTAGGAGTCACCAGTTTAGACTAAAAACAGTGTAAAGAGTCAAGGAGAACTTGGCCCCTGTGGCTCATGCCTGTTATCCTAGCTACTTGGGAGGCTGAGATCAGGAGGATCACAATTGGAGGCCAGCCTAGGCAAAAGTTCAAGAAACCCCATCTCCAAAATAACCAGGACAAAATGGACTGGAGGTGGCTCAAGCAGTAGAGTGCCTCCTTTGCAAGTGCCAAGCCCTGAGTTCAAACCCAAGGAGGTGGGCAGAGAGAAAGACAGCAGGAGGGTGGGGGAGAAAGAAGGAAGGAAGGGAAAGAAGAGCCAAGGAAGCATATAACAAGTTAAGAAAAGAAATAGTGGTAAAACCCTGTGAAACAACATATTTTAATGTCAAAGAAGACTGAGGAGAAATAGCCAGAGTTAGGAGGAAATAGAGTGTAAAAATGGATGAGTTAACAGTGTCAGAAGACTCAGAGAAGTTTGAGAACCAAATACTGCAACTAAAAGGTCTTAGTAAAGGTGCTTTCAGCAGAGATCTGGAGTGGAAGCTTAGGTTGAGTGTCAGTGAAATAAAGAATATGAGTCAGTGATTGTAAGCTTCCTTTTTCTACGTGCTTGACTATAAAAGTAAAAAGAGCAGGTTAATTAAGTAGAAAGAACTGTTAAGCTCAGGGAAGCAGAAACCTTTTTTTTTTTT